AGAAAATACATGCTCACCAGTGACTGTGGGCATTTGTACACATTTGTGCTGTAAAACCAAAGGAAAAACCAAGAAAAAAAATCAAAAGAGAAAAAAATCAAAGCATTTACATGCATACATGTACCTACGGTACACAGAATTTTGAGACAGATCTCGTAGAGTCTGTGCACAGGATGTCAAGGGATGTCTGTGTACGAATCTCAATGCCACTTCCCTGGTTGTCACGCATCTCCCAACAAAACTGTTGATGTGCATGTACGGTATATCTGTCACAGATTTACCCCAAGAACTTATTACATGTATGTAGTTCGTCATTCCTCTCTGTGATCAGGAAGATGGAATGACCAGCTGTATCCACCTTGAGCAGAAGCTCCCTCTCATCTGTTGTTGGGAGTGGGGAGTTTATTGTGTTGGTAGTGATGCGACCGTTACAGGTGCATTTTATTAGTCGTTCATGAACCAGCGACGTTCAGTTCCGACCAAAGGAGCCTCTGTTGCCTAGAAAATTGCACCCTCTCCTGGTGCAGTTCGAGGCTCATACTAGGCCTAGTTCTCCACGTAGTTCTAGGGGTAATTCAGGTTCACGTCCTGTCCACATTTTGGTAATTAATCTTCATTGAAATAATATGCATGCATGAAGAAAAAAGCAGCATCAGAATACAACATTCTTCCCAGGAGATGAATGAGTTGAACCCAGAATTCCTCTTTATCAAACAAAAATCTCTTGGGGTTTAGAAGCAATCCTGGTTTATCATAGTCCGAGTAACTACGTGTATCGGTAGGACCCTGTGAATCGCCTCCTTTAATTAACATTTGGACATGGTCACGCAATAGCAGGCCCGAGGCTTTCGAGTCAACTTGTACCTTGGGCGACTTGTATGTACTTGTACCTTGGACGACTCGTATGTACCTTGGATGACTCATACCATGGGCGACTCCTACCTTGGACAACTCGCATCTCAAGTCAAGACCACTCCTACAGGTCTTCATGTTTGCAATTTGGTTGTAATTTTCTTGCTGTTCCTTTTCTGCATATTTAAGATCAAATTTGACAAACATATCTGTTTTTTCAAAGAAAAATTTCTTTTTTCCCAGACATACCAGAAAGATCTCGAGCTCCAGCATGATTTTCAGCAGTGCCTACCATGGGCATTTGCACCATTGGTTTACGTGACGGTTGTCGACCATTTTCCAACTTGACTTTCTTATTAACATTCTTTGGGGGGGGGGGGATTTTACTCAACTCTAAATTCTGGGGGTTTTTTTGGGGGGGGGATTCAGTTTATTCTTATGGCTCTGGGAAAACATTAGACCTTTTCATTTTGTGGGGGGGGGAATGGTGACTTTGTTTGGGGGGTGTACTTAATAAAACTTATGTCTTGATTTCTTTGCCTTCCTTATTAACATTTTTGGGGGACAAGTTACAACTGACGTTACTTTATAAACTCTGAAGTAAATGAAAACATGACATCACTCCATCATCACTGTGGACTGCACGGTGAAGATTCCGAATTGCATGCAACGACGGCTGGCTACATTGACCAGCGTCAGTTTCCTGACCGCGCAATGCACAATGTCGACATGTCTCACATTAATGTCGCCCCACCTGCGTGTAGGTAAGGCAGTGTATCCAAAACGGCAAATTAGGTGACGAACACATGACTAAGAAATCAAATTATTGTTCAAGGTACCGGTAATTACACTAATAGTGAGCTCTGAGCAAGCTCTGATTTCTGTGAAGGTACATGTACGAGTTATCCCACATGCGAAGGTTCGAGTTGTCTTTACTGGAGGTACAAGTTGTCCAAGGTGCGACTCGGCAAAGGTACGAGTTGGTACAGTTACGTCGAGTTGATGGTATGAATTGTCCCTGGTACGAGTTGTCCAAGGTACAAGTTGACCTGATCCCAGCCCGAGCATGTCCAAATGTTGAAAGAGGCAGTTCATAGGGTCCTCGTTACTCAGACTAGCTGATTCATAAACTTTTCAAATTTTGACGACTGTGGTTTTCAGATTATCCCCTTCCCAATAAGAAGCTTTCGTTGAGCCATTCTTGGATTTGATTACCTTGTACTTGTTACAAACAGCACTTACACATCCAGGTGTACTCTCAAAGGCTTATGCAATTCTTTTATTTCTTTTTTCCCTGGGAAGTGACTACACCGCAGTCAATTCTATGGAAATAGCAGATGTCAAACGTTACACCGCAGTCCACAGTGATGCTGTGACCAGTGTGACTATTGCTGGCGATGTGTCATACATCACAGGCAGTGCTGATCAAGTGAGTATCAAAGTCAAATCAAATCAACCAACTTTGTTTCACTGCCACACATGCACTGGCTCGCCAGAGCCACTTGAACAATATTTGTGCGACATATCTCACTGCAACCTCACATTTGGCAACACTCGAGGACACCGCCACAGAGCGATGCGTGTATTTGCTACGAAAAAAAAACCAGGCTGTGCGTGGCAGCCTAGACAAGCTGAATGCACGGTGCAGAGCCTCCGACTTCTCAGACTTTAAATTTGTGTTCAAAACGAATGGGGGACTAGTGTCCACATAAGGTGAGTTGGCACAGGTTGCAGCTTAACCCATGAGCAGTACCTGCACAGTCAGATGGACAGATTATGTTTGTGTATCCTCCAGTATAAAGTGGTACAATGACAAACAGAACAAAAACACTGCTGTCTTTGTGGAATATAACTAGGAGTAGGTTAAGCCTTAAACCCCACCAGTTTTTACAAAATATAATAAGTATTAAATCAAGAGAAAACGTGCCCTCATGTCAGTCCAATATAAAGCCCATTTTCAGATCTAGTAATTTCTGTGCATTTGATGTATATCCATGCATAGACACGGAAGTGTGTAAATTGAAGCGCTACCTGTGTTACTTTGTGAGCTTCATCAATTAAATCAAAAAGCTTTCTTACAGCAGGAGCGGATGGAATTTCACATCCACTGCCGGTTGCCCCAATCCACTGGGATCCAGCGCACCTTTTATTGCCGGAGAGATCTGGCGGGGCACTCCATTTACAATTTACCCACAGTGCCAGTGACGCTTAAAGTTAATTTATGGCTGTTCAAACAACAAAGGTATTACAAGTTTGCCTCTAGCATAAGTCGTCGGCCATAATGGAGTGTTGTCAACAGTTGTGACGGTGACAAAAGAAATTGACATTTCATGGTTGTAACAAAAAGTCTCGGCCATTTACAGGTACCATTCAAGAGTTCCAAAAAAAGTACTCCTTAAATTCATTGCTCACAAATCTGAATCCTTAACCACCTATCATTTTAATGTAAAGTACAGAATCCTTTAATCATGTTAATCTTGCAAAACCAGCTTGGGGGTTTGATTGGGTCAAGGTCAGAGTTTCTTTCATGTGAGTGGAAATGTAAGTGTTGTACATGTAAGTCTGGTTTGTAAAAATTAGAAGAGGCTTGCATTTGGATGGATAGTATTTAAACATTGGTTCACAGTAGAAGATGGTTGGTTACGGATGATACTCGAAGTATGATAGCAGGGTTATTTGTATTGCCAAGATCAATCAGAAGGAGAGGTCCGTGAATGATCACATTGTGCCCATTTAAGCCACGGAGCCCGATCAGTAATGAGATTTGGGCATAAACACGTGCGCAGACAACTTGCATGAAATTGATGCGGGTTTTGTTTTTTGCATGCTGAGCGGACGATTGAAATGCCACAGACAATCCCCTGCGATTTATCCAGGGAGTCATCCGGGACTCTGATGCAATTAATGATATAGATTTCCCTCGTGCAGTGCAGCGATCCATCAACTCCGTCCAGAGAAGAGCATGCCTCTCCTTGAATTTACCACTGTACTAGTTTTACATTTCTGGCCATTAGATTTCATTTAAATGTACCATACGGTATGTGTGCATTGGTGCACAGCAAACTACTGCACCAGCTGCAGTTTACAAGAAACAGTGGTTCGGGGGCCTATTCAGAGCTGTTTGTGCCTGAATAGGGCTTGATTAAAATGTCAGATCAATATTGATGTTGTTGGGTAGTGTTAAGGAGTTCATCAGAGATAAAGATGACAGGCCTGATGTGAGTGGAGAGGTGAATTTTGAAACAAACAAAAGTGGACCCCATTGGACTACACAGCTTTGTATATAAGTAACTACAACTTGGCCTGCCACCCTCCTAGCTACATGTAGTGCGTGTACATGTACGTCCTGTGTTTTGTGTCATTCACCATGCGCCAACTGAATGCGTATACATTTTATAAGGACAAGCAGTCTGCTTGACATTAGCAACTTTCTCGCTCAGTCCACCCCAATTCCCATTTTAAATTAAGGATGTCATTGATACATTCCCCAAAGCCTTTATGGCCTTGTAGAGTGATGCTTTGTGTACAATTAAAGTTCATCAGTAGCTGACTCCACCCCTGATTTATTCATTCTGTGTTCAAGTTTGAAAGGTCCATTCCCTTATAAAAATGGTTAAACACACCCCCAAGTCAAAAGGTTCTTTTTAACCTCAGGCGTGTACCCTTGTTTCTTCGAGAGCCTCCCCCTGCAAGCACCCTCAAGGAAAACAGCCCCCTCCCCGAAAACAGCCCCCTCCCCGCCCCCCCAAAAAGGACAAAAGAACACTCACTCTAAAAAACATCGAACAAAATGTGCAGCTTGCAGTGGTGTTTTTCACCTGGTCAGTAATGAACAGGAAGCTCCCATTTGTCAGTCTGATTTTGTTCAGAAATTGCAATTTCACGGGCAGTTAGGCCCTGCTGCAGGAAGAGCTCGACACTGGTATGCCCCGAAGCTCAGCAATTTGCAACGCGATGTGTGTCTGAGTGGTGAATGGAGCATTCTTGTCCGCGGCAAGAGATAATCACGGCTGCCCTGCAGTGTAGAGTATCAAAGCCATTACGGTCATTCTTATAAATTTCCTAATTTTTTCCTGTCCCTGGCATATGATTTTGTAAGTTGAAAATGTAGTACTTCATTTCTACGAGTGATAAATGCAAATTGTCAGCCCAACAAAAAAGAGTTAGAATTCAGTTTCTAGGCCCCCTGTGTCACTTTGCATACATGTAGGTCAGGCGTAAAAGGGACAGAAAAATATGTCACATGTTGGATCCCAACTTCATAGAATGACCCATAAGTAATCAAGTCGGGGCCATGTAGCAGCCCAAGCCCACCAAGAGCTCTTGTTCCAAGTGCCTTGGCCATGCAGGGGCCAAGTTCCTCAGGGGTAGCCAAGATGGTCTCTTGCTTCAGTAAGCCCACAAAAGAAAACATTCTTCCGTATGAGAAGGCAACAGTGCACACCGCATCTGAATTGGGTCTTATTGCTCCTGTATGCACATGTAGGACTTGAGAAACCTAGCAATGGATCAACCATAAGTTGGTTTTTAATCCTGAACAGGCTGTCTGAAAATGATAAGGCAGCATTTAAAATCCCTCTCGAAACAACCTGCTTATTTGCATTGCCAAAGCTGTGTAATTGATCAGGCATGCAACTTTTCCTCAGATCAGCAGATCTCCTCATTTTTTACACATACATGTACATGTGTAGTTCACACTCATGCCATTGGAAATCGAAAAACACTGAATAAAGTCTTGTAAAGATTGGAATTTCCTCCTTTTTTGTCAAAGTCCAAATTGCATGCCTGATTGATGCTACAGTATGTATTTAATGCAAAGGACATGCATATCTGAGAGACTATTGAGTAGTGAAATGTTTCTCTGCTGTATACATGTATGACCACCGCTGTGGTAAAATATAACTCGACGTACAGGCAGGCTGTGCATGTACCACACATGGAGAGGCAAAGTCACCTTGAGAGAGGAAAGAATGATAATGATAGTTAGGAATCATTACGCTCATCTCTCGTATTTAAGTCCTGGACTAATCATGGAATTCGGTTTCCACATTTCTGTGGGGCCCCTCACACCAGCCCATGAACATCAGTATCCACTCAGTGCAGTAACAAGAGATGAAATGCGTTTACACGTACACGTGTACATGAACCATGTTCATTTGGTGGGAATTGGCTGCACAGATTTGCGCGCGCTCTGCAGGGGACGCACTGAGCATGAGCTGGATGCGCGCACCGGCCCAGCTGAAAAAAAAAAAAACTCCCACCAGCCTGTCCCTTCTTTGCCGGAAGAGGGAAGGGAGTCGCTAGTCATAGGCTATTCTGCTCATAATTCCTAGTGAGAGCAGTTGTTAAATTTCCATTTTTTGGGGTCTTTTTTCTTTTCTGGTGACTGGATTTCAGAGCATGGTGCTGTACCGTTGGAAGGAGGGGCGATTGATGCAGAGATGGGTGGGACACAAGAGAGAAATCACCAAGGTGAGTGGTAAATAGCTGGCCGTTGTACTTAGGACAAATCTTTCACGTATGGCATCAGAGAAACAAGGAACACAAAGGTGCTTTTGAATTTAACTGTTGAGTTACCGGGTTTATTCAGGTTTAACAAGTTTCACATACAGTGTGAGTTGCATGTACAATGTTTAGTAGCACAACTGGGAGGTTGTAGTTGAACTTTGTGAATTTCACAAGTTCAAAAGAAACGTTTCAAACATAGTGGATTTTCCTGCCAAAGAAGTCAGCTTTTAGATGAGAACTACATGTAATAGCATGCAGATTGGACGAAAAAGGTAGATTTAAAAATCGAAACGGGGGAAAAAAGACAAACTTCTTAAAGAACAGCACAAAAAGGACACCACAAATAGATGAGCAGAAAACCCACAGGACAAAATAACTGAGCTGGTACTGCAGGCCGGTAATTTGCTTCTACCGGTATGTGTCTCTGCCTTTGAAGTACAACTAAAATTCAACTGTAGTAAGATAATTGAAGTTCATATCTTCCTATAGGGAAGGAGCCACCTTGAAATCTGCGGGATTTAAAGATGAACTGCTTAAACTGAAAGTTACATGCCCTCTAGGCCTTCAGGTATTTGGGGATATGTAATTTCCTTAACCTCACAATACTTGATAGACGTGGAGATCATGTGGAGTGGTTTTCTGTTACCCTTTGAAAGTTTTAAGCTCCATTTCCGTACAGTATGCTGATGCATTTTGCTCCATCTGTAATGCCATGTTTCTTTTCATTACACAATCACCACAAAGACCATAGCTATGGGAAAATTCTTGGAAGTATTCTCCATTCAAGTGCCCAACAGCAGAATGAGACATGCTGCCATCTGTGAATGTCTTTCGAGGGGAAAACTACCGTTAGGTATTAGACCTGACATGTGGAAAATGATGGACTTCACTTGCACCAAATCTGAGACTCATGGGGCACACCAATTAGGTTTAGCCTTGTCAAGACAACTGCCAGTGAGGGAAATGAAAAGGATTCACAACAATGATGTGCTTTAACTGCCTTGATGTTGGGCAAACCTGCAAATAACCCAACTCTTACGTGTAGGTGTAATTGGCGGCCATTATGTCTCGGAGGAAGAATTTGTAAAATAGATATATAAATGTTCAGAGTCTTCCCCACCCCTAGCAGCACTCTACAGAATTAAAAGGAACCATCAGAAGGGGTGCGAGCACTCACACATGCCTTGAGAATAGTAGCTTGTTAGATCTCAGTTTTGCCAAGTTTTTTTCATACAACACATTGTAAGAAATGTGCCAAAAGACCATAAAACCTGGACAAAGGGTTGCAGTGATGTGAAATTCAAGATCCCAGATCTTGTTTCTTTCTCAAACGAAAGTATCTTCTTTCCGCCCTTTTTTAGTCTGTTGATGACATACGGTTATTCAAGGCGTACATGATTCTGTTTCATCCTTTATTCATCATTTTCCAACCTTTTGAGTTGTGAATGTAGCTGTGAATCAAATTTCCGGCAGTGATTATTCTGCAAAGTCTCCCCTCTTTCCCTGTTAAAATGTCCTCTTTGCTTTGGTCACGGCGGAAGCTACAAAATCAGCAATGGCAGAGCTGGCTGGGCAGAATGAGCGGGTAACTGTCCTCCGGGGGATGGAAGGGGAGTGGGCGGGGAGTAGGAAGACATCAGGAAAAATCCCGGAAGAATTTCAACGGAGATGATTCCTGTGATTTGGCTGTGCTGATGCATGCCATTAAGCTGCGGCATTCTAATTTAAGCCAACACATAGAGCCATTAAGCCAGAACAATCTGAGGGGAACCAGACAAAATGGCTGTTTCCTGTTTTGGGGGTGTTTTTTACCTATAGTAAATTCAGAAAATTTATACTTAATGGACGAAGCATCGCAACACTGATCGTAACACTTGTTTTTTTTCTTCAAGTGATCAAGTGCTTCGGTAATCGCAGCAAGTGGGCTTGGTACTACGACTCCTGAGAGGGTACATCATCCAAAGAAAATCAATATATGTGTCTGACATTTTGCCAGGCAAATAAAGTCAGCTCCCATACATTAATTATGAACGCACTTCGAAAGCAGTGCAGATGAAGGATTTAAACACTTTTGTCTTACATTCATTTCCAATGTACTGTGCATACATGTATGTTTTCATAGACAAATTTATCGTACTTCCACAGTGTACATGAGCATGTACAGTACGTGCTTTTATGTTGCAGAATTTTAGCTCTTCAAAATTTGTTGCAGCTTTCATGTCATTTTTAGCAAACTGTATTCATAATTTTTAGTGGTTGCAGGAAATTCTGTTGAACGTTGAAACGCTGCATGTATTGGGTCATCGAGTATCATAGTGTTGATTGTATTATTGTATTATTAAGGATTTCGTTCTCCAAAGTTTCAAGATTTAGTTGCTGTGCTGTTTCTTGAAGGATGCATTTCAGTTTGAGATATTTTTGTCTTAAAAGTGAGCTGGATTGTTGAGTTTGGTAATATGGACGTGGTTTGATGCACATCTTGGTTTTGAAAATATGTTTTGTTTGCACAAAAATGGAGAAAAACTCCCCAATTAATACATAAACCGTCTGACTTTATGGTGTTTACGATTTGTACATAACCTCAAATAGTTCATTGTAACATCCAGTGTTTTTCTCATGTGTCCTCTTGTAAATCATGAAAACAACTAATATTATGCATATGTCATTATATATTTCAATTTGCATAAAGCACCAAGTTCTTATTTATAAGAATTCATGCTTCGGCCACCCTCATTTGTGAACGTGCACTTGCCAGAGGTGGTCTAGTTCATCATATTTGCTCACTCTTCTGTTTGCATATTTTTTTTGTATTCTGGGATTTTTTTTCTTCATGACTGTTGATGTTTTCCCGTGGCACACACAAAGTCCTCGACTAAATGAGGCTTGGTTTATAAATAGAGCTGGTGTCTCCAATTACTCCAATTACAGAGGTTAGAGAGAAACCCACCGCAGAGGGGATTTTTGACACCGGAAATATCAAAGAATGATACAGCTTGGCTATGTTCTTTTTTTTTTCCCAACAAAAAAGTGAGAACTGGCAAGAGGTCTTTTCCATATTTCAACCAATTGGATGAAGGAATCTCATATCTGTACTGTTGTACATTTCCTCCTCGTGTTTCATACTCGCCAACCCAAGTAGTGTTGGCAGCGTTGGCTTCCAATTTTAACTTATTTTTTTACAGTTGTTATCTACATGTACTGATTCAAATTGCATGCCTTGTTTCTTTTCAATTGAAAAAAAATGTAAAACTATTGTAAAAATAAAAATTGTGCTTGAGGGTACAGAAGGGAGTCGGACCAATTAGGAATAGAAGTGCACTTTGCATTGAAAGTCTCCAGCCATGGGCATTGTCAGGATTTTTTTTTGGGGGGGGAACAAAGCTTGTATCGGCATTAAACTGAGAAACCACCTTCCTTTTTTTCTCCATTTCTGTCTTCTGTTTTCTTTTGGGCCTTTCTTTTTCTCTCTCAAATTTTCCCTAAAAAAAAGTTTGCCCTAATGGACTCGGTTTGAGTTTGGCATATAGAGTCTGCCACACATAAAAATTCACTCCATAGAAATAAACAATTTTTGTACACTGGTATGCTGCAATACCCCTTACTAATCACATGCCCAAAAGAAAGTGATTATCTTTATAACAAAGAAGAAATTGACATGCACAGCAACTTGGTCACTGAATCAAAAGTCACACACTAAAGCACTCTCCACCAAGCAAAAATGAACCGTGAATGGGCAACATTTTAAACAACCAATGACAAAGTGAACACCTGTTTTGTCAAAGTAATGTGCATGAGTGGTTCCTGTATAGGGATGATTGTGACTCTTTTATTTCGTCCTGTGACATTGATTTCTGCGTAAAACTTACGGCTCATTCTGTTACATTCTGTGACTTTTGATTCAGTAACCAAGTTGCTGTTTGACAGAAGTGGCAAGTTTCTTTTGCTGTCCTGTTTAGTGGTAGTCTGTGGGGTTCTTTCTTTGATAGGGATATGTTTGAAGTCAGTAAATGGTTCTCCAGGTAAAAGCAACTGTAGAGTGACACCAAGTGCATCTCCGGCTGTGCAGACAACAAACCCAATTCCATTTGCACGGGAAGCACAGAGAGAACTCGTAATGCTATCAAATGGATGGGACAAGCTCTCACCTCGCTGCATAACACCTGTCGCTTTCTACACACTTTATTTTTTCCCCATTCCCATCAGCGGCAGTATGTTTTTTACATCACCACCCATTAGTGACAAGACCTTCTCTGACAGTTCCACCGAGGCCGGATGGATTGGTTTTTTTTTTCTCTTTCTGTCTCTCTTGTCCCAGTGGATTTCTGTGGGCGAGAGAATTTGTCTGACGTCAGGAGTGTACATGTATGGGCTGGCTCTTCCTGTCAGTCTCCATCAACCGCAGACGCCCACAGTTGAAACATTGGATCATCACCTTCATCGCTTCCTCCTTCTTAACTAAAGATCTCAGACGATAGCCATACTTGTGTGTGCCTGCATTTGTGCCCTTGTTGAGAAACCTGTCGGTTTGTCAGGTACATGTACATGAGGACCGTCTTGTGTATATGGGACTCGCTCTGCAAAAAAGGGGATTAAGTCGCGCCATGCCAAAACACGTAATATCCTGTTCTATTTGAAGAGGGCAAGATTTCTTCAAAAATGTGGTTTTGTGTTTTTTCCTTTAAATGCTTCAATAATATATATTTTCATAATTTGTAACTTCAAACATTGATACTGATGAATAAAGATGAAAAACTGATCATTCAGTAAGAAATCCTACATAGCATTGTGTTTCCAAGCGCTAGACGTTATGAGCTTTATCTCGAAAGGTGCTTTTATTGAATACGAAAATGTGGATATACAAATGTCTATATATCTAAGGAACGCAGCGCACTACAGGGGTCATTCATCTATCAAATTGTAGCTTTTGATGTACAGAATCCAGCCGTATAAAAAACTCAAAACCT